GTGAAATACACAACTTCTCCTGAACAACTGAGTAGTTGTAGCTGTCCAACTTCCCTGAACTATACCTCCCCTCGTCATAGGGACGATTTTGTAACACGGACTCTGGGTGTAAGGATGTTAAGCGGAAGCGTAAACTATGCTTCCGCTTCCCTGAACTATACTTCCCTGAAGTATAATTCTCCTCGTCCTAGGGAATTCGATAAAAACGTCATTCATTCATTGAAGGAGGCGGGTCATGGAAGGAGGTTCGCTTTAGGAACGGGTAAGCGTGAGAAGGGAACCGAGAACAACGAGCATGAATCTACCACCAGCTTTTCTAAATTCGACAACATTTGTTATTTTATCTGTTTATTTCAAGATGAAGATTCTTATGTAAATAGTACATGGCCTTTCTCTTCAAGATGATAATCATATGCATCCGGGACTTAAGTTGAGGTTTCTGTGTTCGTCAAGCGGAAAACGGACTGAAAGGAACGGAAAAGTCCCGTATTCATTGGCTGCGACGGTCTCAAATGTCCCTTGCACCCTTGAGGGATAGCATTGCGCTGTGGCTATGTGAAATTCCGCTGTTTTGTTAGAAGGTTCATCATCATGGCAGGTCTAACGCAGCCCTCCTAAGCTAAAACCCCTGGCAAGACGAAACAGAAGATTACTGAGGAGTTATCAAGTACTCACTGTCATTCATTGTACTCGTTGTCATTGATTGCTGTGGAGTTCTTCTGCACAGTGATGAATCTTCAACAGCAGAAGAGCTAGTAGCAATACAAAAGTTAAAGTCTTGCACAAGTGAGAAGGTTCCTCATCCTCTGTGTAGAAGCAATATCTTCGACATTTTGGGGTGTACAAGTCTAGAGAAGACTCTTCATCCATGTACCTACTTAAGAGGAGCGAGATACTCGAAGAAGAGCAGCGCAGTGACTCTATTACTTCCTTGACTCTGTTACTCGCTTGTATTTCAAATTTTCGAGTTGTACTTCTACATGTTGGGCCTTAACCATGCACGCTGGCACATTGGCACACCACCTGGCGCAATCTGCATAGGTGTGGATTCCCGGAACCCCTCCCACCTTTCTAGCTCCCTGCCAGGCTTTATTAGAGGAGTAGAGTAGAGCGATAATATAGAAGCCATTTTTCAGAATGGACATACAGTTCTGAGAGAACGACTGATAGAATCCAATTATGGAGCCTTCTTTCATAGGGTAACAGAACAGGTAGGTAACAACAAAAAGAAGCAGAGAAAGATGTAGCATATACTTTGTGCCTGAGGAGGTCTCCCAGGGGACGCTAGTAGTAGCAGTAGTAGGAGTGCTAGTAGTAGTAGTAGCAGTAGTAGTAGTAGTAGGAGTACTTAGCCCGTGACTCATGGGGTACAGTCTGAAATTGCAAGACTGAAAGGGGGTGGCTTTCAGATTTCAGGACGTCTTTCTTCTTTTTTAACGTCTGCAATTACGAGACGAGTGGCCCAGTTTTATCGAGTTCGCAAACTACTGGCAGCAGGTGGAGTGCGTTAGCCTCCTTATATCAGGGGCGCACTAATTGCCTACGAACCTGTCGACTTTAGGATGATCAAACTAGGACGCTACGCGCGACGGCTTCACGACAGTTCATGATGAACTGAACTAAGAAAGCAGCAGACGAGAATAACCGAGATACTGAAGGACGCAGGAGTAGCCTTTAAAAGCTACGCACCTTATGCAGTTTGCCCATAAATACCTGAGATCCTTCACCCGGAAACGGAGAGTGCTGCCCGTAAGGACCAAGGGGCAGAAGTCCAGCTGCGTACCACGTAATTTGCGTTACGTCTGGAAAATTAGAGATGAGGAGAGGACCGGCACATAGACATAGACATACATGAGTATACAACTAACTAACAGCCCTTCGATCATAGTACACGAAAAATACAACTTCCTTAAATGACTACTAAATGTCATTGTCATGAATCTATCAATCTATCAACAAGAAAAAGGTGGATGCACAGTCTTTATTCCAGCAACAAGCACTAGTCTTGTTTCTAATTCTAGTCTCTGGTCTTGTTCGAGAACAACTATCTGCGTTGACTTTTTTTCCAGAGAAGTAGAACTATATGCTTCTACTTCCCCCCGGTAAATACTTAACTAGTTTTTTACTCGGTTAAACAACGACCCTGGGAAGGAGGACCATAAGACCTTACATTCATACGGCCTTATGTGGGCAATGTTGTGAAGCAGAGTTTTTTGAAGCAGAGCTTTCTAACAACTTTCATCATCGGATGACAAAAACTAAACAGCCACCAGCCTATGGTCTTCTATGTCATGTCATAGCGCCTCCTCTTATGTAGCTATCTTTAGTGTCTACTTCTCCATCCGATATCGTAGTGCCTCCTTTGGAGAGCTACCAAAAAATAGACACTGTAGTTTCGTTACAATGTAAGTAGCCTTTGACTTGGACTACTCTACTATCCCACTGCAGCCGCCGCTTACAACAGTGCATCTCAAATGATGTTTCTTCGATTTTTCACAGAGGACCCAACCACTTGTTTCTTAAGAATTATCATCGGATGCAAGATGGCGTTGTCGCCTTCAAATTTTCCCGCTGCGGTGCCCAAGCACCTCTCAATATTGGGTAATCCGCCGTTAATGGCAAAAGCACCACCCACTACAACTTCGTGATCATGTTAGAAGAGGCGGCGGCCTTGCATTCTCTAGAAGGTGAACATCCCTGAGAGAGGAAGGACTCGTCCTTGTTTCCTAGTGGAAAGCTACGAGCTAAGAAGGATGGTAGCCCTCAAGCTTGGAAGAATATGGTAAAAACCCTTAACTCACGTCATCAGATGAGAAGAAGGCCTCCAACCTCTGTTCTTCACAGAGAGCAGAGGAGTAGAACTCTTGTGACCACCTTGAACCTCGAACAACTTCATCCTCCTCGGAAAAGAAGCAGCCAACACTTGTACAGGGTCGTTCACCTTGAACACTACTAGTCTCCATCATGTCCAAAAGGTCTTGTTTCGCAGTCCAAGAACTACTCCTAGACCAGTGCTTTAAAAATGCAGGCAAAAGTGCTGCTGTCAATTGTTGTAACAAGAACCGAGAGGACGAGCCGAAAGGATCAGCAGTACTCCGCCAACTCGTCCCTTGAGGTAGTGTGTGCTCATTCCTTGGTGCTGTAGTCCACGACGAGCTGGACCTTCTTGTAGTCCACGACGAGCTGGACCTTCTTGTAGTCCACGACGAGACCCTTGAGCGGGATGAGGATGCACTACGACAAGAACTTGTAGTCCAGTCGTTGTCCCAGTCATTCGCTACTTCTATCAGGAGGTGTCCACTCCTACTTCTTGTTGTCTTCCTTGTTGTACTCAGAAGTCCTCGTCCTCGTCGTTCACCTCTCCTCCAGTTATTACCAACAAGCGTCCAATCCAACTGTTGTGTTATCAGTAGAATGATCCACAGGCGCACGAGCCAAGCAACCGTCGACGACGATGCAGAAGAGGGAGATGAACTTTTTCGGGAAGTAGAAGAAGCTCTAAACAAGGGCAACAACATTTTTCGAGTAGAACTTGATGCTCCACCAGGTGGTCCTTCAAGAACGCCTGCGAGTCGTCCTCCTTCAAGAACGCCTGCGAGTCGTCCTCCTTCAAGAACGCCTGCGAGTCGTCCTCCTCTTGAACGCGACGAGAGGAGTGCAACTTCTACGTAGAGTTCTTTAACGTCGCGGCCTCTTGAAGTTGAGACGACTGAGAGTTGTTTCAGCTTCGTCCACCTCCTTCTCCAGTCAAGGAGCAGCGCTAGCATCATGTTGCCCAACACAACAAGGTAGAAGACAAGGAGAGCAAGGACAGAGTCGATACTTGTTCTCAAAGAACTCAATATTAGAGAAAAAACCGCATTGGCATCCTTGCGAGCATCCTTAGCGGCTTTTCCAGCTAGAAAAAGAGCTAAGCATCATGGTGAGGAAGAGGATGCTTTATAACGGTAGCCTTAACAATACCATTCTTAGTGGTGATCTTCGTATCAAGCTTACACCAAGTGGAAGGATACAACTGCAGCCCAATAGTGATTGTGATCTTCGTGTCAAGCTTGTTGCAGATGTCTGCTCTTCTTCTTCCAAGAGTTCCACTGCTTTCAAGTAGTCACTTTGAAGAATCTGTTGCTTTCCTTCGAGCCAAAGGCGACTTGTATTCTGGAGTGCAGCACCTCCAGCAGTCCTCCACCACATGTTTATCTCGTGGAGCAGCTCCTGCATGATTTATTTAGAGCTCAATACGCGTTATGCGAAAAAGGTTGAGCAGCGAGTGCATGTGGAGAATGTGCAAGTTTGTAGGAACTCCCTTCGTTCTAGAAAAGAATTTTCGTGCTAGTAGACTGAAAATCTTCTAGAACAAAGATCTACTACTCTACTTCAACATAGACTGAAATAAATACATCTACTTTCCCTTCGTTCTAGAATTTTCATGCTAGCAGTTTCGTTCTAGAGAAGAATTTTCATACTTGGTCATTGATTGAGGGTGCGGCCTAGGAAAACAAATGAAAACTTGATAATTGAGGGTCGTGCGGCCTTAACATTACAACTAGGTCCAGCAACCCAAGAGTTCCAGGAACTTTGCCCGTACCTCTTCACCGGGATGTCGCTGCACATCTCTTCCACACCTGCTGATTGGCTCGCGGCATCGACTGGAGACAGCAAGACCAGCACAGCTTCATTTTTAATTTCATCATCTCTCGACGTCAAAGCAGTAAAAATTGTGCATTCGGATCTTTGCACGACCTCCATTCTCTCTCATCATTGCAAGAACATCAACCACTACAACTCATAGTACTCTTCAATATTCATTACTATATTATCTAAAATTCTCTCTCGCACACACAAGTATGTTTGCGAGATTACTATATTATCTAAAATTCTCTCTCGCACACACAAGTATATTCTCTCTCGCAAACATGATTATCGCAAACACAAGTACTGGATGTTGAATTTACCACCTACCACCGATAATCACAAGTACTTGATGTTGAATTTACCACCTACCACCATTCTCCGTGGTAACCTTGAATTCCTGCAAGCACTCGGCTCAGATACGGATTTGAGCGTGCATATCAAGTATTTACGTATAATTTTTCCATGTTTGTAAGCTGTCCTAACTGACAGTAACAAGGTGGCGTTCTCAGGTGCGTGTCCCTGAGTCACGGACATCCCGTGGAGTTGAGTAGAAGTAGTAATCGTACTAGCAAGAATTCTAGCGTATCCATAATTCACGTAGGGCTATAACGGAAAATTTTACGCTACTTCATTGTGCTTAGGTTCCAAAATTCCAAAACTTCGACTTCGCATTTCTCATTCTTTACAAAGAAATGTCGACCACGACTTCATTTGGTTCTTATTATACTATAATAGACTTCGCTGCATCACCGACACGTACTTCTAAAGACTTCGCATCTGCACAACGCTCCGCATCACATGGCTAAAAAGCAGGGGAAGCAGCCGCATATAGTCTTGTGCTATAAGCCTCCTGGCACCCGGTTGTAGAGGAACAAAGCGTATACTTCTTAGACGATGATGATGATGATGATGATTGTACCTATTCTAGAGGTGTTTGTGTGTGGCTTTTGTTAGTCTTTGCATTTCAATATGTGTCTTCTGTATATTTCAACTCTTTTTGCCCTTGCTTGCATTGTCATCAATATCACGACTTTGGAAAATCAAATTAAATGTAGTTCATCTTGAAGCGTACCTTTATTGTGGAACTACTTTTAGTATGAGTCATCTTTATCCCCTTAGAAAGTTACGTGTCAAACACAGATACACCTTGATAGATCTAAAACAGTTTTTCAAGATGTAGTAGTAGTAGTAGTAGTAGTAGTGTACCCATTCCTTCGTGGGGTATTAAAGACAGCTTTAATCATTTTTGCATGAGGAGCCTTAAGTTTGCAAAGAAATGCGTCACAGACGCGTACCGTATCAAGCCCGCTAGGAAAGCAGCGGTAAAAGCGGAGCGGGCGATCGCAGCGACATCACGGACTTTTGAGCGGAAGACCCGACTCTCTGTCGTGTCCTCGTCAGGTGACCTCTTCTTGAGTTTCCACAGAAAGTCTGCAAGTATGAAGCGGATGCGGAAAGCCATTATATTATATTAATATTTTCAAGTTTCAGTTTCTTAAGTTGAAAAGTACGATAATGATGAGAGATTTTGGTTCCATAGCAAGTGCATCGGTGATCCGGCGCCACGGGGTAAGGTCTGCGACAAGTAGTAAAATCTTTTGCGTTTTCGATAAAGAGGTGCTCGTGTCCGACGAGAGAGAGGCATGAGACGTCGCACTTCGCAAAACCTGATCATTACAATCTCTTTCCCTGTCGAAGTTTTCCTTATTCCTCGTCAGATTCTGGATATAGACTTTGCGCCATTGTCTATGAGCATCTATTGCATGCCCATTCGCCAAGGCAATGTTCTGTAGCTGCATGCCTGGCGTGCTCGCATCGCGCCACACAGTTGCATACCAAAGGATAAGGCGGGGTACGCACAAACCTATAAGGTGGGGTCCTCTTTCCTCTAACCAAGGTCGCACAGCAAGAGTGCTCTGTTCGTTCAGGAGGTCATCGACACCAAAGTAGCCCAACGCACTGCTTCCTGCAACTTAGAACTATTTTTCAGTCAACACAATTATCATAGTGCTCAATTACAGCAATTTAGTAGTGTTCAATCAACACTACAGTATTCAAAATCAAAGCACCGCTTCTTTCAAGTTACTTAGAAGTATTCAACATTACAGTATTCAAAATCAAAGCACCGCTTCTTTCAACTTAGAAGAAGTCAAGTGTTCAACATTATCCTGTACTAGTGCTGTTCAACTACATTATAGTACACCTCGTTCAACTTAATCTACACGACCTCGTTCTGTGAGAGATGACGGGAATCCGAAGGACCCCTGGCGCTGAGGATCCCAGGGAAAGAGACCTCGCACAGCCTCAAATAAGACGCGGATCACCTCTCTGTCCAGTACCTCAGCATCCAGTTGAGAGATAGCAAGTGCTTCAGACAAAGCGCCCATAGACATAGTTGTGTTGATCCTGGCTGCCAGAAAAAAATAAATGCATGCTTCAATAGTACGCAAAAAAAACAAAACCTGAAAGTGTATTTGTACTATGAGTGAATGAATGAATGTACCCACTAGAATGAAGATGATTGTATTTGTACTAGATGATTGTAGAAGGCTGTTTTACTTCACATCATGCCCTGCATTAAGATAAACTAATCAGTAACGCACACCTTTGAAGGGAAGAGGGGGACGAGGGGTATTTCCTCTAGTAGTCATCTAGTCGTACTAGTAGTCCGGTTCGATGCTCTTAGCTCAGTCCTAAATCTTAGTCACCTTAGCTTCTCTCCATCTTCTTTAACAAAAGATCTACTTAAAAATCTACTTAAGGACAATAGCTACATCATAAAGTTCAAGTCTCAAGAATCTTCCAAAGGTCTTGATCGGGTCAGGATGTCACTTGCACCGACGTCACGAGGGGTCTAATGCGGATCTGTTTGACGACACAGTCCGACACGGGATGCGCAGCTAGGAGAGGACCCTCTGATTGCCCTCACCTTGAACCTATTCGCATAGAATCAGCTGATAAGTATCGTCGCCCTTGGATCCGAGGTTGTCAAGAACAACATCTTCTTATTTATCTGTAGTAGAATGAGCTACACTCTACTTGGATCCGAAGTTGTCGTCCTCAACTACGTCATACTTATAGTAGAACGCTATCCTGTTGGCTCGTTTTTGCGTCCCAAGATCGAGAACACACAGTAGCTTCACGTTTCAGCTGATCCTGATCTTGAACGTCTTCGTTGGGCGAAGACGTTCAACGCACAAGCTGGGGTTTTCTCGTGAAACACATGCCAACCTTTCACTAGTTTCATTTGTAGGCCTTAGAATCTCAGAGACTTTTCTTCTTATGTTAAAATGAGTAGTTTTCCTGCAACTACCTGAGAGAAGAAACTACATCCGGGAGAGCGTGAGGCCATTTTTTCCTAATTCTTTCTTGATTATTGCGCATCTTGAAGTTTTTCTATCACATTGAACGAAGTTGAACTATTGAACTAGTCCAATTATAGAAACTGTTGTTCAATGAAGAAATAATAAAATTTAGTTGTATAAAAATGCTGAGACGACCCAGACTGATGGCCATGCGGGACCTCGTACTTCTCGTTGTGGATATAACGATAGGCGACGCCTACCGGACCGGATACATTTTTGGTTCCTGAACTGACTGGCGCCATACCTCTACGGCGTCTACCTTTTCTATTTCTTCTAACGCAAATAACTACCAGTAGGACTATTAGTAGCATTAGTAGTAGTAGTAGCATTAGTAGTAGTAGTAGTAGCATTTGTGAACCGATTCGATGGGTAAGTAACTACTAGTGCAAGAACATCAACTAGAAGCAGTACAACAAGAACTACAACAAGATCAGAATATTGCAACTCGTCTTCTTGGTGCGTTGTTCTTGGTTCTGGCAACAAAAGCTACGCTGTTTTTTACATAATTCTCTTGGATTCTGTAACGTCCCTCAGGGACTAGTTGGAACAAGATAAGTAATGACATCCATTCATTCATTGGGCGACGTCGGCGGCCCGATTTTTTTTTTTTTTCCATAGGACTACATGCTGCCTCCCATTCAACTACTTAAATATTTAGTCGGGCTTTTAGGCCGTGTCACAAGAATCTTTGACCAAGAGTCTTTGGAAAGTGTTCGACGGTCCCCATCCTGGTGGCATCACTTGTCCTCCTCCTGGTGCGCTGTTCTTGGAACAGAGAGAAGAACAAGTAGTCCTCGTAGTCGTAGTGTACCTACAATGCAATACAACACATTTAATCTCGCTACCAGAACTACAAGAATATCATAAAATTTTCACACAAGAACATCTACTTAGTTACTATAGTACTGCATCGCAACTACATATTTAACAAGAGAGAACTGGTGCATGATTAGAATTACTTGACGCTTCTGATATTTAAGAACCACGCTTAGTAGTAGTATTACCGTTAGAAGAGATGCAAGGCGAGAAACACTCACTTATTTTCTTGCGAAGTTATTCTTGTCTTGTCCTGTGTCATCATTCATGATGCCATCACTCTTGATGAGGTTGTTCTTCTTGCGAGGTTGTTCTTCTTGTCTTTTGCGAAGTTGTTCTTCTTGTCTTCAACAGTATATTTTCAATTTTGATCTCGAAAGAGTGATTTCTTCCATTTAATGTACTAGTTCTAGTATGATGCCATTCAGTCCCGCTGAACTTTTTCCCGGGCTCGGAAGGGCCGGAAGGGCCGATGAAAGCCCGAAGCTACCACCGACGCTAGCAAGCTGGTAAACTTGCTTTTGCTCTCTCTCTCTTATTCTACTGCCCTTCTGCTTGTTTCCCTTCTAATTCAGGCGCTTCGGTTTGTGATGATGGTAGAGATGATGAAGTTCTTCGATTTCGTCCCTCCTCTACTGTAGAGATGATGAAGTTCTTCGATTTCGTCCCTCCTCTACTGTAGAGATGATGAAGTTCTTCGATTTCGTCCCTCCTCTACTGTAGAGATGATGAAGTTCTTCGATTTCGTCCCTCCTCTACTGTAGAGATGATGAAGTTCTTCGTCTCTCCTCTACTCTTGGTCCTGGGAAAGAAAAATTCGAAAAAAACACGTTCGTCCGGGAGGTAAGGACGGCGCGCTGTAGTCTTGGTGTCCTTGTGGTCGTGACCACAAGGTCGTTCTAGTTGTGTACAAGGTCGTTCTAGGTCGCCTAGTACTTGTTCCTCTGACATGTTCATCATCGTGGCAGCTACACAGGAAGAACGGAAGCTTTGCTCCTGTAATCGTGGTCATCTACAACGGGGCTAGTTGTAGATCCTCCAACTACTACAGTACTACTTATTTTCTACTAGCTTCTGCCGACTCCCGGCTAGCCGCGCTTGCGCGAGGAACAGTCGTTCTTGCTCTAGAACAGGCAGTTTGATGCTGAGGCGCTTCGGCAGCTAAATTTCCAAAAGTGGAGAGCATCTCGGCTGGTCCCGCAGTGGCCGTGACTGGTCCCACTTTTACTGCGATGCTAGCTGGAATATCGAACCTAATCTGATCGTCCAGAATGGACAGTCTAATTCTCTTCTCGTGGCCAGGTTAGCGCTAAAGAAAGGGTCTAGTTGTACCACTATGGGCTCAGTGGTTCCGTGAAGTGAGTTGCCTTGTTCATCTTTCTTGTTTTCAACCAATAGTTATAAAATTAGTTTCTTTCCTGTTAAATAACAATCGAGGGGAACAACAGGAACACCTCCTCCACTCGGGACGACGACGATAGAAGATAATGATGATATTACTATAGATAAGTATTACCCTACGCACTAGATAGGACTAGGGTATGCTCCCTTGCAATGGTAGAGCAAGTCCAGGGTAATTGTATTGCCCTTGCACTAGAAGAGCACCAAGGGTATTGTATTTTTACCATTGCACTAGATTGCTGTACAACAAGGGTATGGGGAACGACCACACGCACCAGATACAGATAGAAGAAGCGAAATAGAACAGTGAAGCCTTAACTAAGTTCTGCATAGCTGTCCTCGCCGTCGCCGTCCAGATGATCCGCAGCATCTTCACTCGACATCGCTTCATCATCAGCATCATCATCGACGTCTTCATCACCACCAGCAATGGTCATACTATCTTTTTTAGCGCTTCCACGTCGCATCTTCCTCTTTGAGAGTAAGGAGGGCCTTTTCAAGTTGCTACTTGAAAAAAGGGGCCAAGGAAGAGGATGCTGTGAAAAGGAAACGCTGAGAGTGCGGTACTACTGGCCGTAACATCTGCATGAAGAACTACGTCGGCTGCACTTCTCCCGCCACTAGTGTCAGGGGCTGCACTTCTCCCGCGGCTAGCAGCGTTCGTTGTCCTTTGATCTTTCTCCAACGTCTCTGGAAGATCATCGACTGTGCTTGAGACCACTCGAATGGCACAAGAGAAGGAAACGTCAATCTTCAATCCCCTTCCTTAGACCTAATATTCCTGAACTAGTAGTTGACCATTTTTTCGATGTACTCGTGATGTCACCCTCATGATCTATACAATACAATACATCTCGCACAAAGTTCAGTGAGCGTCGATGCCATAAGGGCGTCGAAGCACATCTATTTCTGTATGGTAGAAAAAAAAAAGTTGAAAAGAGTCCTTATGGAGGATATGTACACTTAAGTACACCAGATAGGTCAACTTGCAGTTTGCCTTACCTTGGCACAACTGTACGCTTTACATCAGCACCTTCACCTTGCGTACTGGAGGTACGAGAAGTGTTCTGGTCAAATGCATCATGCTGCTTTTGTAGGAACTCAGGCGTCATGCCGCACATTTTGGTTACTTCATCCCATGTGAGGCGGGTTGTAGAAGAAGACGAGGGAGACCCGTTCTTTTGTTAAAGGTAGTTTTTCACTATCCGTGGCTCTCTCGTCCGTGGCTTCCCCTTTGAATCACCCTAGAGGAGCCCTACAGCCCTAAGGCAGTAGGCGTAAGCCCTTTAAGTCCAGGGAGACAGTAGACCCCACTCAGGGGAAGATCCACCGATAGTGCTCATGGGATCATACAGATAGTGATAAACTACTAGCCTTAAATTTGGGCTTCTTCCATTTTGAAGGTCGTGCTATTGAAACGCAGCGCACCCTCAACAATAATGAACATTTCAGTACAGTCTTCGTCCTCTGCATCAGGAAGAAAGTTTCCTTTTCTCTTGTCTGCTGTTGCTCCGACGTGACGGTGACCATCTCCCGTTCCCTCTATCATGTTAGAGTTGAAAAATTTCAAAAAAACGGACTCAACGTAACTAACAGGTTAGGTTAGGTCATGGACCCTGCACATCGAGCTACACCAACTACAACATCTTCTAAGAGACACTATTACATGTTGTAGGAGTAGTATTCGTAGCGTGCTGCCCAGTCGTGGGTAGAAATTCTATATTTCATCTCATAAGGCTGCACCAGGCGCATGGCATGGAGTGCATGGAACACATGGAGTAGCATGGAGCAGCTACTCCATGCACCCCATGCGTGAAAATTTTGCGAGGCGCCCTGCGGCCGCCTCTCATCTGTCAAAGTATACACGCCTCCAGCTCGGTATTCCGGGGAGGCACCTCAGACGGCCAATCCGCCAGCCACAGCTTCGACTGCTACGTCGAGCCCCCGGGCCGACGCGCTCACTCGCGGCCCGGTGCCCTCAAGCCGCCCAAGCAGCGAAGCAGCTGCAGTGCCGCCAGCGACGTCGCGACCCCTGGGTGTATTACGTCCAAGACAGTGCTCCCCGTGCGTCTGGCCTATCAACCAACCCCGACAGCGAAGACTCCCAAGCCACTCACACACTCGCGGGCGGGGGCCCTTAAGGCGGCCAAGGCATCAGCCTCAGCGCCGCGGGCTGCACCCCTCGACGCATTGATTACCCACGGCTGGGGCTACAGCTCCCCGCCTACGCTACGACCCCCGCCCACTCACTCACAAGCTGGCCCCCTTACATCAGGGCCCCCCACAAACCAGCTGCAGCGCCGCCGGCAGCGTCACTCCTTAACAATCAAGTCACCAAGCGCCCCCTCGGGCGTGGAGCCTATCAGACCCAACTTCCGCGGAGCATGCTCCACGCGTGCCCGTCTGTTACACGCTTGCGATGCACTCCATGCACCCCATGCGTGGGAGGGCTGCAGGTACTCCATGCGCCCCATGCTACTCCATGCACCATGCGTGCTTTAAACATAAAGATAAACTACTCTAATTTTTACAATAGAAGTTATGGACGAGTGACCTTCAAACAAGTGGAGGGGCCTTATTTTTACATAATAGAAGTTATGGACGAGTGACCTTCAAGTAAGTGGAGGGGCCTTAACAACTTCTTCTTCATCGGTTAAGCCCTCGTCCATGCCCAATCGTGTTGCGGTTGAGGTGTAACATGAGGCACAAGCAGTGGCACACGCAGTTGACGGGCCGGTAGTCGTCGGTGTAGCTGCTGCTCCACCTTTTGCAGCTGAAGCTCCGTCCTTCGCCAACTGCCACGCGCTTGGCGGAGCCTAGGTAGAGGAGTCATTTGGCGACTTTTTGGCATCAAAAAAGTAGCAACAACTACAGGCCAGCACAGTGGGAGCTCCATCCCGCTACACTATCCGAAGGAGGTGAGGGGGAAGCCCTAAGGGAGAAGGGGGCGGCAAGGCTTCGCAGCCCGGCACGCTTCTCCAAAACAACCAGAAAGACGTAGACAAGCCGGGAGACATGGAGGCAGACAACCTACCAAACGTCGAGGGGACACCGAGGACAGAGTGACACCGAGGACGGAGGGAAACCAAGGACACCGAGGACTGGACGGAGGGAAACCAAGGACACCGAAGACGGAGGGACACCGAAGACAGAGTGAGAGGGACACAGGGGACAAACGGAGAGAGACACCGAGGACACACGGAGAGGGACACCGAGGACACAAACACGGAGAGGGACACCGAAGACAGAGGGCACACCGAAGACACCGAGAAGAGAGGAACACCGCGGACACCGAGGACAGCTGGACAGAGGGGCAGCAAGCTGGACAGAGGGGCAGCAAGCTGGACAGAGGGGCAGCAAGCTGGACAGAGGGACAGCAAGCTGGACAGAGGGACAGCAAGCTGGACAGAGGGACAGCAAGCTGGACAGAGGGACAGCAAGCTGGACAGAGGGACAGCAAGCTGGACAGAGGGACAGCAAGCTGGACAGAGGGACAGCAAGCTGGACAGAGGGACAGCAAGCTGGACAGAGGGACAGCAAGCTGGACAGAGGGACAGCAAGCTGGACAGAGGGACAGCAAGCTGGACAGAGGGACAGCAAGCTGGACAGAGGGACAGCAAGCTGGACAGAGGGACAGCAAGCTGGACAGAGGGACAGCAAGCTGGACAGAGGGACAGCAAGCTGGACAGACGGGCAGCAAGCTGGACAGAGGGACCGCTGGCTGGACAGAGGGACAGCTGGGTGGACAGAGGGACAGCTGGGTGGACAGAGGGACAGCTGGGTGGACAGAGGCACAGCTGGGTGGACAGAGGGGCAGCTGGGTGGACAGAGGGACAGCTGGGGGGACAGAGGGACAGCTGGGGGGACAGAGGGACAGCTGGGTGGACAGAGGGGCAGCTGGGTGGACAGAGGGGCAGCTGGGTGGACAGAGGGGCAGCTGGGTGGACAGAGGGGCAGCTGGGTGGACAGAGGGGCAGCTGGGTGGACAGAGGGGCAGCTGGACAGAGGGACAGCTGGACAGAGGGACAGCTGGACAGAGGGACAGCTGGACAGAGGGACAGCTGGACAGAGGGACAGCCGGACAGAAGGACAGCGGGACAGGAGGCAAGGACAACGGAATCCAACCAGTCGGCGTGTAGAAATGTGATCAGTACTGTATTCCGTTCGCCGCGGGTGAGTTGGCGCTGGTCCCCTGAAGCTGTTCCTTGATGCCCTTCGCCATCGCAGAGAGGCGTAGGAGTACGTGGCTCGGACTCGTCTTCACCAAGGAGGTTTGCCGGGATCAGGATCTGCGGGGCACCAACAAAATTATGATCATGAAGAGGTGAAGATAAATATCGGTTGAAAGTATGAGCATTGATTGCAGATCTTCGGCTGGCATGCCGGGTGGCACCGGTGCAAAGCCATTTGCGAGTGAAGGTTATTCTCCCACGACGGTTATGCTGCTCTTTCCAGTACCATATGCTCCCACACGCACCAAAGATTAGAGCCAGATGAAGTGGCAAGAAGTTGTTCTATCTATATTAAACAAATATTTATACTTCTTCGATTTACCAAAAAAGTAGCAGACCAAGAGGATGAAGTCGATGCTGAGAAACTTTCTCATCTTCGTCCCATACAACCGCAAATAGAGGACTCCACCTGGTGCCTTCTTGAAAATAAATATTCGAAAAACTGAACTAACCGAGTAACGGAAGAGAGTAATCTTCTCAGATACTCTGCTACTCCACTTAGCTACTCGCATATTTTCAGTTTTCGAGTACAAAAAACAACATGCTCCTGTAACAATCAACATGCTCCTGTAGTCCGATAGGCATGTAAACCTTAGATAGTTGAAAAAAATGTGTGGTGTAAGATAGCCACTAAGAAGTGAAGTAAGGATAATGATAATGAACTAGTTCTAGAGCGAGCAAAGCAAAACCTCCTGACTTCTTCTACCAAGAGAAGAAAGAGAGGTAGGCGCTCGCGATGAAATCGGTACGGCGTAGTTGATCTTGCTTATGGGTGCTACCTCACCAAGATCAACAACCGAAAACATCCGTCAGGAGCTAATACTTTTAGTTAGATACTACTTAGATACTAGTATTCGATAAACTGAAATAAGCAAGTAATATAGATAACAATCCCTCCAGATACTCGGTTATTGTATTTGTATTTGTTACTCGCATATTTTCAGTCTTCGATTACTTAATCGATAGGATACGTCCTGAAGATACGGTGACGTTTTTGTAGACTCTTAAGGCGCGTACTCATCTTAGAGCTTTGTCATAAGGCACGGTAGACTCCACGAATACACTCGAGTGTTTCGGGTCGCCACTGATCACAGGGAATGAGTGAGTCGTCCTCTGATTGATCCTCTGGGTCGCTTTCTTGTTCGTCCTTGGAAGAGTAGCCGTGGGACGCCCACGTGTGAGAGTGGCACTCGTGTCGTGCTTCACTACGTGGTCCATCTTTAAGATAGCATTGAGGCTCATGATAGGTAGCCACTACTACCTCCGGATCTCCGCGACTCGAGGTAGAGCATGATCTCTGCTCCTGTCGAGGTGGTGGAGGATCTCCTTCAGGATGTTGAGGTGGCAGCTGTGGTCGCTGTGGTCGCTGTTCCTGATCTTGTGAGCCCTCCCTCTTTTCTTCTTGAGGATCCGCACCTCTAGTTGTACTTTCAGGAAGATAAAAATTTTTCACTTGTTGTAGACGATTTTGCTTAGTAGAAGAAGGAGCAGATGGAGAAGCGATATTAATATTAATTCCAGGTGACGTTGGTCTTGTTCCTTGTTTTATTTGTTGACCTTTGTTCCCTTCAGATGCTGGGAGTGAAGGATCAAACACTTGTGACGAGGACGAACTCAACATCCTCCCTGCAAGGTCAATGATGAAGTCGTCCTCAGGAGTTTCCCTCGGGCTGCCTTGCTCAACCTGGTCGTGTCCTGGGGAACTCCGCAGCAAATGTGGACTGCAGAATTTTGAACTTGATCCTTGCTCATCAACTTGATGCTGTTGCGGATCTCCTGCCGGGCACATGCGCTGCCTGGTCCCAGCACGCGGAGCACACACTTCTGTGGTCTTGGTCCTCGCGCCAGGGCGGCTGCTCCGGTCAAAGGCGATCTGCAGAGGCACACACAAGGCACGCAACCCTCCGAGGGAAACCCGTGCTTTGTTTACCAAGGTGCGTCGCGCCCTCGAGCAGGCTGAGCTCGTCGATTCAGAGCAATACTCTTCATCTGAAGATCCGTCTCCGAAATCGCAACGCTCTTCTCCTTCTTCGTCTGAAGATCCGTCTCCGAAATCGTGTCCGAAATCCTGTCGTCCATCTTCAGTTGCTCGAGAAGCTCCAAGTGCTTGAGCTCGAGAACAAGCTTCTAATGTATGAGAATCTTGTTGAGAATCTTGTTGAGTTTGAGAATCTTCGGCACCTCCTTGTTGTCCTCGACGTCCTATTCCTGCTACTATCGTACTTTCTTGAAGATGTATGATCCTGCTATTATCTTCCTCAACGTCATAATCCTGGTCTTGGGCTCTCTCTTCAGCAACGTCATAAGCGAGCTTGCAGGAACCGCGAAAGGGTGCTTAGAGCTAGAGGTAGGGTCGTCTTGGTGCTAAGCGTTTTGGTTTTAGTTCTGCCATTCTCGTGCCTTAAATGATGTATGAAGCAGTAGCCCCTAAGTATTCCTCGATTGGATGTTTCTTCTCCAAGATGGGAAGGTTCTTGCATGTGAAACGGGAAACTAAAAGTGACACCCAGAAACACCAAAATAAGAAGCACCAAACCTTAAAGCACTTTGCTGCTTACACGAACTGAGAGCAAAAGCCCATCGTCCTCGAGTACTTGGCTCAACACAAATTCACTGCAAACAGCGCCGAAGTTTGGGATCGCTTCCCTATGAGTCCTCTTCTTATCTCCACCCTGAGTTAGAACATGAGCTGGTGCAAGTAGGGGCCAGCACAGCGTCAATATAATTATACAATGAATCTCGCACAAAGGCCTTAAATTTGTTCCTTCGGGAGGTTGCACGCCGGTCGCTGTGTCACAATTTCTCAAGGACATCACATCAGAGTCGGACTGACCGCCGAAATAAACTTCGAGTTCAAAAGCAGGAGGTGCTGCCCCTTGCCCTTGCAGGTCGTTTGATCCATGATGCACATGATGCACAGGAGGCGCTGCCCCTTGCAAGATACTTTTATTAGCACCTCCTCCACGATTCACTTCCACATGCTCCTGGATCATATTTTTAGTACAAGTCTCCTGGAGCAGGTCATGATCTTCTACCAAGTTCCTAGGATGAGCTCCTTGTTGATCTCCACCAGGAGTAGGAGTAGGGCAACTTCTTCCCGCTGATGAGGAGGCTCCTCCAGTAGTATTCGAGCTCTCCGCAATTCATCTCCAGCTGTAGTATCCTTGAAAAAGATTAGCAGCCAAGGATGAATTAGCTACATAAAAAGCGGCCTTAATAGCAGTAGCAGTACTAGCTACCGTTCCTTGTTGCCTTCTCTCTTCCCTCCTCCTCATGACCGCTAGAAGTTGCTCATCACGGATACTGACTTCTTGCAGCCACGTAATTTCGTTAGAGAAAGATTAAGATGATGTATATCCATAAATATATTATACTTGGGTAAGTTGTTCAAAATTGTGACATATATTCTTGCGTAAGTCGTACAAGTTTATAGAAAATCTCCTAGTTGTCTAGTACACACATGTACTCGGACCAGTTCCACTTGCAGCAAGTAGAAAGCACTTCAAGAAACAATATAATGCACCTTATCTAAATGCCATGTGTATGCCCCTGTTAGTGTCATTCCTAACACCCGTAGAGACAAAGTCTGCATGTAATCAGGATCGAAATCGAGATACATACAGCCTAGAAAGAAGAAAAGATCTACAACCACCACCACCTTCATCATTGCTTATCTAAACATCAGGTATCCCTTATAGATAATCATTCATTCATTCATTTACCTAGCACGAGGTTGAGCTCAGACTTAGCGAGTAGTATATCTTAAAAAAAAAAAAAAGAGACGGGAAGCGTGGATGTCCAAGATGCGCCGCCCTCTTGAAATGAGTCTGAAAATGGATTAATGAGCAAGCTTTGAAGCGGAGAGAACTACAGTGCGAAAAAGTAGGTACGGGCTTTAATCCACTAGTTGAATAAGCTGGTGCCAGACTGACAACTGTGAATCTTCTATTAGAATTCTTGAATGAAAAGGAGCTTCTTATAACATCAAGTGCTGAAGCTACTGAAAGGAGCCTTAATTAAGACAATGCCTGCCGGTTCTGGCCAGTGCAATTCCTCGACCGGTCCGCGAGTCCAAGCCCATTGACAAGAAGGATCGAGCGATAGGGCTTCACGTAGGGGAGCAGGCATGATCGCGGTCGTCCGCCTCGATCCTGGATGAGGTGGATGTTCTTGATGAGTGGAACGATAAATTTCCGCTGCAACATTTATTTTACCATTAGCATTTGAAGAACATGACTGAAGAACAGGATGCTCGCCATGAAGAGGAACAGCACCTTGGTCCCCGTAAGCATAGAAGTGGTCGCAAGACGGCCAAGGCAACATCTTCCTGCGAGATGAGCGGTTCCTGCGAGATGAGCTTAGTTGTAGCTCTTGTAGCTCCTGCACTAGCTCTGGAACTGTAGTTCGTCCTCGTCCTTCTTCTAATGTGCCAACTTCTTGTAATGAAGTGAGAGCTTGATTCCACTTCTCAGATGATGAAGGATCGGAGGAGGAGGAGGCTTCGGCATGATGTTGAGGACAGGAGGAAGATGACACATGAAGATCACTTGTTGTTGATGAAGATGTAGTAGGAGTTGTACAACTAGGGTGAGAAAGAAAAGCACTGTCTGCTTGCTGTGTACACCGCTTCTTCCTGGTTGGCGCTTCTTCCTGGTTGGCGGTGTCCCAGCACCTTCTTCTTTTGTTCGCCGCATCACGCGCTTGCGACCGAGACGCGCGTGCTGCTTTAGAAGTTGTGCTGCAACTTCTACGTCGATTTCTATACGAGATTGATTGATGTTGCCTTCTCTCTTCCCCAGCTGCAGCCCCATCTTCAACTTCGTCGTACCTTGTTTTACTATTGCTCAATGTCTCTACCTCCTCTTCTTCCTCCTCTTCTTGGTCGCCTAACATGGCACCATCCTCCGTCATCGCAGAAGAGGCTAGCTGGACTGTCGTAACAGAATCTTGCTGTACCGTCGCAGAAGGAGCTACTTGCTGTACCGTCGCAGAAGGAGCTACTTGCTGTACCGTCGCAGAAGGAGCTACTTGCTGTACCGTCGCAGAAGGAGCTACTTGCTGTACCGTCGCAGAAGGAGCTACTTGCTGTACCGTCGCAGAAGGAGCTACTTGCTGTGTCGATGTCGTGTATGCGGCCTCGTCCTCCTCTAGTACTTCTGTCGTAGCAGGAGATGTCGTGTATGCGGCCTCGTCCTCCTCTAGTACTTCAGAACAGAGAGCGTGCTTGCTTAGTAGATCAAGATCAAGGGCTGGTTGCACACAGATCAAAGGGCACAGCTTTCCACAGTGCGGCTGAACCTCTTCCCTGAACGGAGCAAACGCGCAACGGCGACGAAGCAAACTATAGGGCTCAAAGTGAAAAAAACGGTAACGACAAGCACTGCAACTATGCAGCTCACAGGAGGATCCGGATCCGTCGTGTTTTGCACCACAACTCGCGGACTCTTTCTCCACTTCAACGACCTTCGTCCCACCAGGAGTACCCCCTTCTTTCTTCATAGAAGAGCCACTCTCTGAAGATTCTGAAGATGTAAGATTAGAGGTTCTTGCAGCATTAATCTTATTGTGGCTCCTCTTTTGGTCTTTTTTTCTATTTTCCTCGAGGATGTTGATATCAGCGCCCCTAGTCGGAGACAACTGCACCTCTATTAAAGAAGAAGCAGCAGCAGCTGGTCCCTCTTCCGCTACAGGAGAGCACCCACCTTGAAGATGGCTCAACCATTCGTTTGAAGATCTTTTTATCTTGTTGGACAAGAAGATGGAGACATTTTTGTTCCTATTTTTTAACATCTCAGGCTTTACCTTTACCACATCAAGAAGCACAGTCCTCTGTTGAGCGCTTGGAGGACGTAGTTCTTGTAGTCCACTGCTCGAACTCTGCTGCGACTCTGTAGTATCTTTAAAAGAATTTTTGTCCATCCACTCTACAAATTTCTGGTGTGTCGATGGAGACAAGGTCGGTGTAGTAGAAGTGGTCGCTCTACTAGAAGTAGCTGTGGTCGCTCTACTAGTAGCTGTGGTCGCTTTTGATGCTGGTGAACCTCTTTTTTCTAATAGTTGCGCCTTCGAGGTCGAAGATGCACTAGTAGTCGATTTTTCTTCTGCGCTCTTTTTCTCAAGTCTCTTTTCAGCCTTAGAGCTACTGGAGCCACGTTTAGGATCTTCATGTTCTGCTGCGACCAAAGTTGTAAAACCATCTTTCATTCGAAGAGATAGAGTTGGTAGATCCTTCTTCTTCTTCCCCAGAGATCCTTCTTCACTGTAATATAATTCTGGTCCCCCAGATTCAGCAAATCTAGTTTGTTCAGGTCCTTGTGCTTCAGTTTCAGGCTGTGGGTGGCCAGACTCAGGAGGGCTTGACTCCTTATAAAAGCTGCTAACTCGAGAATTTTCTTCACTCGATTGATGGGCTGCCAGCTTTTCGTCGGCAGGTGGTGGAAATGGAACCCCAAAAATATTCGTAGCTGCTCCCCGTCCATGTAAAAACTGCTGCGGGGAATGGTAAGATGCCGGCCTTTTGTCCACTTGTTCTTGTCGTTCCGTCTTGTCGTTCCGTCCACTTGTTCTTGCCTTTCGTCCTCTTGCTCCTTCTTGTGGTCTTGAGCCTAAATCAGATTGTGGCCCCTGTCCCTGTGTGCTAGGAGATGAACTTCCCGGAGGACCACAAGGTTGTCCCCCCTTTCTGCATGATTTGTCACGCAACAGAAGATTTTCTTCATCTTCTTGCGTTCTTTGATGTCCTCGAGAAGCAACCCGGTCCGACCGTCGCGACTGCTCTCCAGCTCTTGCCCCTTCATCTTGCAGCTGTGCTGGGTATTGGCAGCTTCGCCAACATTGTTGCAGTTGCTCCTCCTGTACGCGCTCCGCTTGAAGCTGAAGGTTTAGGGCTGTCCGATATTCATCTTTGCCCTGGTGCATCCTTGAACTTCTGTATCACGATGAGAATTATTCTCATCGTCCTTTAATTCAGCAGGGATGATGCTCTCGTCACCACACACAGATGAATTATCTCTACTAGTCTTAAAAGATGATGCTGCAGTTGCTGATGTGGAGCGGACACAAAATTTGTCTGAAGACTCTCCTGTCGTGGTGGAGCTGATGCGACCGCTTGCAAAAATGGAAATAGTCCATCAATCTGAGGATGCATTTCTTCAGCGGCTGAAAAAGCAGTACCAGAAATGCTCTTAGAAGATGTCGGCTGTTGCTCTTGCAACTCCTGAAGTTGCTGAAGTGGAAGAGCTCCTGCCTCATCATGGTCGCAGGAGCTTTTCCACTTCAACTTCTCAAGAGGTGTACCTGCATAACTGGAACAGGAAGTGGTGGCACAGGAAGTGGCGCAAAATGATTATTATAGCCTGGCGTTTGCTGTATTTGCATAGGATGATGTATTAAAGGAGCGCCCGTCGTCGAGTACGGCATGGACGCAGGCTGTTGTTGCTGCTGAGAATACATTGCCTGCAGCCCTGCTTGTAGCTGATGCTGCACCTGCGGAGAATACATCATTGGCCCCGGCTGCTGCTGCGAACTAATATACACCATCTGCTGCGAAGATGGGTACAGCTGCGCCTGTTCTTGCACTGGCTGTGGCTGATTTTGTTCTTGATTATACCCCTGTGCCTGCCGTTGTCCTAGATATAAGGAACCCTCCCGGTGGAGGTGTTGAGTAGATGTTGCAGCCGCTGCTTGGTACAGTACCATCCCGATCTGATTCCCGGCGCCTGGAGGTCGTGTAGCCTGGTGCTGTGCCTGCTCGAAGGCGTCGTGCGGCTGGGGCGTCATGCGAACAGCGAGGGCGAGGTGGACCTCAAGCAGCGAGGACCACAAGCACACCACCACAGCAAAGCGCAGTACCTCCAGCACGCATGAAGATGAGGACCAAAAACTACTACTGCCCAACATCATTTTCTTCATCTTCCTCAACCTCTTCCTCTTGATGCTAAACTAGACTCTAATTGATGTTGAGACCACCACGACAGGAATCAAGATGCCTCCTAAAACAACGAACAATATTTCATCACAGTAGTATCTTTTCGAGAGAGCAGAATACTCTTCTACTAATCCACCTAACACTGTAAAGTGTAAATGCAAGCAAATAAATCTCGGACAGGTACTTACGTTGATGAAACTACTGATGTAGATGATGATGAGAAAGTTTTTTGTTATAGCTGCATATCACACGACTACTTTTAGAAGATAATAGTTCTTTTTTACTACAACCAGTAGCGAATCTTCCATCTTTCTTACCCTCATTAGCGTGTTCAAGCTACATCAACTACCCGTCATCTAAACTTGCGTCCTTTCTTAGAACGAAAGTGACCATATTAGGGAAGAATACAACTATAGATAATATCTTGAAATAAGCAAGTAACTACTTACTCTCAAAATTATAAGCGAGGTACTACTTAAAAAATGAAGAGGAATGAATGTAGTCAAGACTCTTTTATTAATATACTTCAGTCAGTAACTCGCCTACTTTCTGTTTTCGAGTACAGCTAAAAGGTCAGTAATTATATGAGGAAAAAATGACATGAGGAACTGTATGAAGAACGAATACGAAAATCTTCATGTCGTGGTCAGGATCTTCTAGGATATCTACAATATAGTTATAAAGTGGTAACCCGGTCGTAGATGATATAAATATATTGATTTGCTCTTGTGCTGAAAGTTCAGGCTGTCCACTGGAATGGGCACTTTGGTTTTTGGTGTTGTGAATCAAACTTCATGATGTTGAGAATTAAACTCCTTAGACTGATTCTTGATACTTCTGATGTTGAAGACATTGACATAGTAAGTTGCAATTGCTTTCCTTAGATTCCAATAAGGAAACTCATCCTCTGATTCTAAAATGAGAGAGACAGTGACACTAAGATTCTACTAACTAAAGTCCAAACCACATAATAGTACGTAGTGTACCCAAAAATCCAGGGGTAAGTGACCCTAAACATAGATAAGAATCCTAACCCTGAGCGCGAAAAAAGTAGCCTGTCAGTCTGTTTCCTTGAGTCACAATGTTGACATAATGGCTGTGACTGTGATCAGTGACATATTATTGAGAAGTACTCAAGCAGCGTGGTTAAGATTAAGATTAAGAGATTTCTGGCTTGCGACAGGCAGCGGCCAGGGCTTCTGGTCAGTGAGAGTGACATATCACAGCAGGTAAGAGGCTTCTATGTGATCGTTGCTTCCATTTGTATTTGGATTTGGAGATTTCAACGACAATGTACTTGTAGCTCCATCCTCATTACAGCACTTTCTTCAGCATATTTGACGCAAAGCTGTACTAGAACCACCGAGTTGGACGAGCTGCACTAGAACACAGTTTAGGATAGGATAGGAATTAGCTTGCCTCGCCTCACGACTATCTGAGCGCTCACGACTATGAAAACGCCGAAAAAGGATCATCTACTACTTTAGTACTAGAAGACCGAGCTGTGCTTGAGCCGCACGTGAGGACCGACACATCTCATTTTGTTCAGTAGTTGTGAACAGTGGTTGCAAAAGGAAGGAAGTGGGGGCTCTGCTTGCGCATTCGGTGATTATTTAATACCAGTGACAAACAAGAGGATCTGATAAGTCTAGATAGATGAAGATGTACCCACTCACGGACGCGGTATAGAATAGTTAATTAGTTGCATGTTGTTGTTGTTGTTGTTGATGTTCTACAAGTCCACCTACTGAGAAACAAAACTACTCAATTGAATGATTCTTCTTCCAGCACCACTTGAAACAAGCACTCAACGACAGTTCGAAACGGAAGGACAGTTCGAAACGAACTTCCGTGCTCAAGTCTTAGTACTTTAGGCTTAGACGCCGTCTGTGACAATCGTAAGATACTGATAGTACCCAGTCTACTTAAGACATTTCAGCTGTCCCAAGACTGAGATACCCAGTCTGTTCTAGACATCTTCTCAGTCTTAAGACAGGTTTAAACAGATCCGAATCATCTAGCCCCTGCTTGCATTCACATTCCTGCACATGCTTCCTCCATTTTTCTGCACCAGCTTCAGCAAAAATAAGTCACAATATAACACAACGAACAGGAAAATAATGAGCAGCAGAAGGAGTTATTTGATCGTAGGTAGATTATTGTTAAGCCTGTGCAATGTCCTTAGCCGTCAAAAGCGTGCGGCTTTTCAGCCCTGATAATGTCAGACTTACAGAGAGGAGGCGAACGGATGGCCCCGAGGGAAAGAACATCGCCGACGGTGGCGGCCCTTCTCACGGATCTGACACTTTTAAGGTTTAAAAATCCAGGAGCTTGCCCCGCCCTGATAAGTTCAGAGTTACAAAGAGCCCGCGCCTTCTCTGCGTTAGTTTCCTGGAGGACCCTGTAGAGGGCGATCGCGTCCTTAAGGCTCCACCCCTGGAACATGTATAAACTAAAATCAAATAAGTCGATAGACCGAGTAGCCGAGATGGTAGCTACAATCTCAGATACAAGAGCCCGCTCCGCTTGTATTTGTTCGCCCTTCTTCGCCTTCTCTGTACAGGAGAACAAGCTAGGGAAAGCTACTGCCTTGCGATCTAGTCAGAAGCAAGTGCTGGGCCCGAGATGGTTGCCTTTCTATATAACTCTGCCGTTGTTTCGCTGTTCTCCCTGCAGGCCTCAGTGTCTCAGTGTCTTATCCAGCAGTTACGAATAGGCAACGAAGCGCTTCGGTTACATACTGCCACCACACTCAATTTTCACGAATGTACCCTAAAAGTTCACGAAAAGAGAAGGCTATAAAAGCTTCGATATGGCGATCAAGGTTATAGCCTTGACCGTGACAATCGGAGTGGAGTTTTCTCCGTTTAAGTCAGACTCATGCTCCGTTTAAGTCAGACTCATGCTAAGTATTAGGAGTGAGGCACAGCGATGCTTGTTTGAGTCACTTAAACACAAGAAGAGAAGAGCAAACACAAGGCCAGACTTGTGCTAAGTTATGACATTCATCCAAGAAGTCACATCTTTAGTACACATAAACACAAAACAAGAAGCAAAGGGCCAACGGCAGAAGGCAGCTTATCTCGTGTCTGTTTTAGGTCTTTTAGTCAAGTCATGTCACAGAACTACTACTAAGCACAAGCGTAAACTGTGCCTATTTTCCGAAGACATTAAAAGAAACGAAGAAGAGAGAAGTATGGTAGGTACTAGATCTTCATGCTTATAAATATCAGCTAACTCATCAAGAGGAACGATATAATTAGTATGCATTGGTAGTGGGTCACAATGATGCTTGTTTGAGTCACTTAAACACAAGACCAGACTTGTGCTAAGTGTAAGAAACGACACTCATCCAAGGCGTCACGCCTTTATTGGAGAGGACTCGCTCGGGTGATTGCACTTTTTTGATTTTAAAAAATTTTTGTTGCTCGGATCGCTCTATCTCTCGCACCTGCTCGCTCTCTCCATAAGCTGATGTCCTCAGCATTCCTACCAATATCCCAACCGACTGCAAGCAGAGGAGAACACCGGCACCACAGAAGGAACTTGCTCGCGCGGTAGGCATTGCTTATTTTGCCAGCTCAGAAAGAGCGGAGAAGTAACAGTTGTAGCAGAATCTGCCAAGCAGTTTGAGAATCCAAGACAAGGAGCCGCTGCCAGAAGAAGTCGCAAAGACCTGCAAAGAAGGACCTGCTCGCGAGGTCCGAAGGAAGCAGAACTCCATCAGACGCCAGACACCGCACGATACACAACTCGATGGACATCCAGCCGCACCCCACAAGAAGTCAGCCAGCAAGGACACGGCCAACTAGCGTCGCGCAGTCACCACCATCAAGCACTCGGCTTCGTGTTCCGGCGCACAAAGATGGCACACGTCGGCGTCCCGCAAGAATCCGAGATACCAAGGCCAAGGACGCCTCGACCCGAACCACATGGCAGACCACGCCATGATCGCGATTCCCTCTACTGAGGCAAGCTGCCGAGCAGGCAGCACAAGTTGGCACGTGACCACCAAAGAGACGACGAGAAGGCATGTTCTTTGAGGCATAGAAATGACTATGGTCAAAAAGGCCCACCAATAAGCCATCACTTTAAGCAATTAATCAACCACAAACCAAAACTGCCAGAGAGATACTACGATAATCAAATAACGCAAGAAATCCAGAACATTAAGCGAGGCGCCAAAGCCTGCCTTCCCGGCCAAGTCTAAGTCTCAACATTTCAGAGCTTCTTTTTTCTCTGTCCTTTTTGTGTCTCTCAGTGGCCTCATCTCTCGCCGAAGCCTCGATGGCATTGCTCGCAGCGCGATCCCTCAAAGCAACGACATGGCGATCTCTCAACGAGGCGCCCGCAGCTGCTCTCTAAAAGAGCTTCGCACAAGGGTGAGACGAAGATGCCCACCGAGAGCGCCACCGACCTGCCTGCTCCGACAACGAGCCGAAACAGCAGCGACTACACTCGTAAGCCCTCGCGTCGTTGGCTATTCACTCCATGTCATGCCGTTCTCGATGTTCTTATATTCAATACTGCCTTACTCTGATTATTTTTTTGATGTAGGGTTACTTTGTCATGATTTAAATTGTAAAGGTGGCGGGGGGTGGTTTCTGTACGTAGTTGTCATGGTCAGACTCCTCGACTGGGAGCCTCATGATGGATGTTTCTGCACTTGCGAAAACAAGAGGCGCCCACACGTTGATGTACAAAGTGCCGGAGCAGTTGACGCTACATGATCCGAAGATGCTAAGACTTTCGCAGGTCCTCGCTACGTGGGACCTGTGTGTCTTACTCTGTCCGAAATTGCATCGATATTTGAAACACGAGGTGCCGCAGCTGCCCCGATAAAGTGACCCGGTTGGAAATCCCACAGCAGTGGGCCGGAGGTATAGATCTTACACAAACTAGATATAGAGAAGCCTAATTGATGAAAACCCCACAAGAGGGAGAATATGGTAGCTCTATCGCTGCCAAATAAATAACGCAAAGATAACACTATGAAGGGATAAAGGTTTAATGCTTTGAAAATGATCCATAATAGTTGCACGGCTTAAGGTCGTAAGAATTCAAGCAATCTTTCTTGTTTATGCTATAATAAGACACCATGGAACCTAGGCCGTGACCCTACTGAAAAAGTCTTTGTGGTGGCATAATCTGCATAGCTGTAGAAATCGGTCACAAATGAAAAGAAATTAGTAATAATATTAACGAACTTAGAAACAACGACTTTAACGAACAGAACTCGGACGCCCTGCATACCCGACAACACTGGCTTGCAGTCTTGCTCGACGACAAGGCGAATGGGCAGCCATCGCTGAGATTGGGCTAAGGATAGAAAGAACACGAATCACGTCACTCACTTATACTATGAAGGTGGAGATCTAGTCGAGATTTCACGAGTGCAGTACTACGACACTAATGAACTTCGACCAGGAGTTACAAGATCACGATCTACATGCTGGAATACATGAGGAACCTTTTCACGCCAGCCAATAAACAAGTAGTAAAATCCGTAAAAACTGGAGACGATCAGCACGCCGTCTATCATTTCTCACCATCTGTAGCGTGGCCCCTTTTGGCACGCTCAGAAGTCGTTGTTCGTCTCACCGTAGGACTCCTGCTGCTGCTGCGGTGCTTGACCCATCTGGTCGATTTTCTCCGAGATACTGTGCTGCACACTTGGGCAAAGGTCATGCCAGGTGTCGTCAGTTCCTCCGAATGCTCCCATAGCCAGGTCTTGGTCACCTGGGTTGTTTTTTGGGTAGATGTGAAAACGTGAGAAACAAGGAAGAAGGAGCTCTTACTCGGTGAGAGAAGGCGGGAAGCAGTAAATGGACCTCTCTACTAATGCATCATTACTAGCACAAAACAGCTACTAATACCCGCAGCGATGTGCGACTTGACCAGGTTCAAAGCCGCTCGATCCATGTAGTACACCCAGGCCTCCAGGTACGCATCAACTGGCGCTTTCATCTTCGCAGAGCCTTCCAGCTTACTCGTGACAGCATCACGGAGCTTCGCCGCGGTAGCCGGGTCCATATCTCCTGGAGCAACATTGCCATGGCTAAAGCGCTTCAAGAAGAGGATCAGCTTCACGATGCACTCGATCACGGTAGTGGCATTCGTCGCCTCAAACTTGCGGAAGAAGGGCTCGTGGCTCGCGTGCCAGTCGCCATCTCCAGTCTGGAGGACCTTAGTCACATCGGACAACACGTCGACCATCTTGCTGTGCTCGCGGACCTGCTCACTTTGAAGCATGGTCTTGATGATCTCCATGTAACCCGTCGAAGCACGTCGACCAATCTCAGCCGTGGTGCAGGCGCTAGTGTGGCCTGGGCTTACAATGGCATGCGAGATCTTGCGCTGCGTATCCACAATAGTCTTGAGGTGTTCGGGAAGGTCAGGTCCAAAAAACGCCGCCACATTTCCAAGACCGGTGCGGAAGGCGGGTTCGATCTGAGGCGGAGGGGGGAGAGAGGTATTTGAAAAATGCGAAGGAAAAGATAGGAAAATGAACGAAGATAGATTTTGTGAGAAATTAGAAGAACCGAACATCATAAAAAGACGGAAATCGAGCCACTAAAAAGAATAGACTTTTACACTAACAGGAGAGGTAAGCCACATCTCTGCTACTATCCAAAAAAATGACCGCGGTCAAAAAAGTAGATCCATCCATCTAACACATGGAGTTACCATGTCCGCAGCTCGGTCCAAAGAACAGTCCGGAACCGCATCGAAAAAACGCGTCAGGAAGACCTTGTCGTGTGTCTGCTTCATCTTCTTCGCATTCTCCAGCAGAAGAGCTTTCGAAGCAGTCGGGATCTGGTTGTTAAAAATCAGCATCACACTCGTCTCAAATACTTCCAACATTTGGCCGGACTGCGCGCTGATAAGGATCTGTAGTTGGTGAGCAGTAAGGAGATAGCGAGGCGATGGAAAGAGACAAGAACAAGTAGCTCTCTCGAGCGATGCCGGTTTTTGGTAGTCGAATGCAAAAAAAGAATTCTATCCCGATGCAGTCACAACCACCTCCAAGCCAATTCAAATTAGAAGAAGAGTTTCTCTAGCAAAAAGGGAATATAAGTGGCACCACTCGCAGAGGCGACCAGAGCTTATAGCCAGCAGTATCGGTCGGCGCACCTGGGCGGATCGGGCCGTTCGGCGCACTCGTGATGCGCGAGATCACGTCGTCGATCGTCTTCGTGCCCTTAGTGATTTCCTCGATGCACACTTGCATTTTCGTCAGCGTGGGTAGCGCTACGGGATCGAAAAGCGACAAGTGCTTGGAGTTCCTGCATGGAGGTTTTATGAGACAAGTCGGAACGAGTTCCCTATTGAAAAATAAGCACAACTCCACTGGTTAAGAACATCGAGTGCAGCACTCCACTAAACAGAAGTCCCGAAATATTTTAACTAGGATCGAGAGTCAGACCCTAACGGGCATCCCGATGGAAAGAACACTACGCCAAGGGCATCTACGTATCTAAATAAAGATAAGAATATTACCAACTCTCCAGGAGTGCTGGAGTTTTCGATCGCTGACCTTTATCAGGGTTCTTCCTGTCAGCTGTGACTCCTTGGACATACGCGACCGAAGCGTGGGACTCAAAAGCGTTGCGCTGCTGCGGAAAAGTTCCAGACAGCTCCTTCAGCTTCTCAATCACTTGCCCCGCATACTCAGCTCCGGTTAGCGCTCGACATTTCGCTGCCGTGAAGGCCTGTTCGTTTTGGGTCGTGTGATGGAGAAGAGACGACGCTCGTCGAAAGAGAGGAACTTGCTACCTGCTAACGTGAAGAAAGTCCATGTGGTAAAGCGAGGAAAGATAAGAAATTTGGGACACACCTGCACAAGGAGAGAACAGTCTAGAACTTGCGCTGCTAATATACTGACCTCAACATCTACCATCTACAGAGACAAAGCTGCTAGGTGCTGTACGTGGATCCGGCTCCACTCAACGGGAGAAGTGGCGCCCTTGTAGTCGAAGATCACCGAGAGCATCGAAGCGGTGTGGCTGCACTGAAAAAGCTGGAGAAGAAGAACTCCCAACTTTTTGAAAGCGTTTTGAATTGTTTTCTCGTCATCACTGACCGGCGGGGCCTTCGAATCGATTAGGGCCTCCACCTGCGCAATAACCGTAGTCCTCCTGTGCTTAACGTTTTTAAGCAATCGTCTGAGAGCTTGGCACAGGTTATTATGCTCCTGTTAGGGGAATGAGAGGGAGACGAAATAAGAAGACAGTCCTTGCAAGGTGAAAGCGGTATGAGAAGGCATCTTGCAGGCCGACACAGTGAAGAGAATCGACATGAGGCAAAGCTAGCTAACTCGAAATGAATGACAAGCAGTTTCTTGATTTCATCTTTTCGGAATAATCTAGAGAAATAAGTACGCGCTTGTCTTCTTTGACCCAGGAAAGCTTCGGCTCCTTCAGCAGACGCTCCATCGCTTCGTCGGTTTGCTGACGCTTCAGCTGACGCTTTGCTTTCGCCTCCGCGAAGGTTTGATGATGGTCCTGCTGCGCCATCTTGTTCTCCAATTCAAGCGACGACTTGACTGATTAAAAAAGGACTCACTATTTATTTTACAGCCGAGCAGAATCCTAAAAAATAATTTTACACTATTCAGACGAAGCGATGACTGATAGGTTAAAAAAAATTTTTATGATATACGAAACAGCACCAGAAAATGACGGGAAGAACGATTTGGATTTTGAGCAAATCCAAAAATCAAAAAATGAGTTATGCACTACATTAGGCGTTTTCACGCGACAAGTTGACCACTTGGATTCTCATACTTTTTGGATTTCGGGCCGGATCCAGACGATGACGCTAAGGGTGGATTTCGGATGGATCTGGTTGGATTTCGTTGGATTTCCCCTGGATTCTCAAGAAATTTTTTGTCGTGTGAAAACGTGTAGAATCGAAATCCAAAATAACTAGATCAAAGTCCTGCGATATCCATCGAAAAGATCCTTCTCAGCTAGGCAAATCCGAACAAAATATTTCGGAGGCAACTTCGACTGCGGCTCTAGAGCCACAAGACACCTCCATCAAGGCGCCGCTTCTCTTCAAGGGACAAAACTACTCCAGCTGGTCAAGCGGCGGGATGATGTTCACATGATCTAAGATTTGCAGGAGGGTGTCGGGGAGGGTCTTGCACTTGTCGATCAGTTTCTTTTTTTCGGGGGCATCTCCTGCTATCTTCTGACACAAGACAACAGCAGGTCGCACAGAAGATGCAAAATCCAGTCGAGACTTGTAGATGTCGCCATTTTTATGAAGGCCATTCTTCAGATAAGTACGAATATGGTCTAGAATGAATCTCGTTCTGGAGGACCACAAGAGCGAAATAGCTTCCCCGAATTCCTCCTCGTCTTGCTTGAAACTAAAGTAGCGCCTCGCCTCCTTCGTTCCACCTGCTAGAAGATCTACTGCGGGATGTTTTTGGCACTCGAGAAACAGCTTCTTCAACTCCCGGTCTGTGATGCGCACGCGCATCCTATCATACGCACGCTTCGAAACACGCTGCGTCGTGGTGCTCCCATCCAAGGCTATGGAGAAGCCTTCCACTGTTAGCCTGGCTCCAATTTTCATGGTCTGTGCTACTTTCTCTTCCTGGTGCTTCTTCAGTTCCACGCTACTCAGCGGCTCAATCACCTGCGTATCTGTAGAAGATGACGCCTTAGCACTAGTTGCCGGCTGCTTCAACGCAGGCGGGCGCGGAATCTTCGGCTCTGCTGGTTTAGTAACTTTCGTCTTGATGCTCTGCTGTGGTGCTATTGAGTCCCCACCGGCGAGGAAGTCCATCTGTTTGAGCGCCTTTGCCTCCAAGAGTCGTCTCTCCAGCTTGGACTTGAAAGCTGCCTCAGCGGGCAACACTGCCGGTTTCTGCGGGGGTGGCGGTTTTTGGATGCGTGGCATCTCCTCATTGATGACGACTAGTATAAGGCCCAGGGTTGCGCTGGAATCGTCGAAGACAAGGTGGATGGAGCAATCGGAGCAGTCGAACTCATTCACTGGCGGATTGGAAGTTGTTATGATCCGCTCACCGTACTGGTACTTCGTCATCCTCTCGCTCGAGTTCACCTCCATCAACTCGATAGCACGAAAATGATAGCTCCCCATATCGATTCCTACCACCATGAATACCCCGCTAGGTCCGCCGTTTTTGCGCTTGAGCTTAATCACTACTCCGTTCTTCAAAGCAGCGAGAGGCGCTTCAATGTCCTGAGCTTTTCGTGCTTCGAGGGCAGCGCGATCACCGTCAACATCTTGATCATTGTCCACTTCTGCGCCAACGCCAATTTTGGCAAGATCCAACACAGCAGGGTCAAGATCGCCAATCAAGTCTTCGAAGATGTCGCCCTTCTCTACTACCTTCTCACGCTCTTTCACCGCATACAAAAGACGGCCAACACGATAACAGATTCCCACTTTCTCCACATGAAACGTCACTGCCGGGACGCTGCGCGTCACAAGATGTTGCGCCCTGTCACACTCAGCGCCAAGCAGAAGAGGGCCCATCTTGTAGGTGTGCTCCCTGTTGCTGATACGCTTCAGAACACACTCCTGAGTCGTGTCATAGAATGCGAGCGCCACTTCGCACGCATATTTCGAGCGGAATGGCCTTTGCAAAGTTTCTTCATCCTCCTCCTCAGAGTCGAGCTCCACCTCCTCCACTTTGTAGTTTAGGCGCATGCTCTCCGTCACTACTGGCCCCTTCCCCAGGCCAATTTTCGTCATGATCGTCTTCATGCGATCTTGAGGCGGGAGATTCTTGTACTCCTCCATTTTGGCCATTGTTGACATTTGGATATCGATATCACGCGGCGCCACATACCTTCTCTTAGTTGCTGTTTCTACTACTTCTTGTTCATCTATTTCACCACGCAGCTTCGCCTCCTGCTCGTCACACAGCCGATGCCTTTCGAGATCATCTCCAACCCGCGAGCGCTGATCGTAAAGGTCTTTTCGGTTTGTGGCTGTGTCTACCGTTGGCAAACCTAGCGCCCCGTTGACGTACTTTCGCATGGAGTTGGTCTTCGCACGACCGATGCGCCTTTCGCAAAGCCCAGTGCTCCGCTTCGACGCCAGCAAGTGCCTGCGCAGAGCTCGCACAAGCTGCTGCCGCTTCATGCCGGCAGGTAGCGCTTTCAGCCGCTTGCTAACATGACGAACAGCCATATCAGAAATGTCGCGGTCATGAGGATGACCCAGCTCCCAGCTTTCCAACCACGTCGCTATGGTTTCATCTGTGTCCTTATCGAGCATCTCCACAAGGACCTCCTGCTCGTTTCGTAGATGGAAACTCGTGTCCCAGACATGCGCGCGGATTGCTTGCAGTGCGTGCTGCGCTCCTTTCTGCATCAGCTTGATCTGCTCCGCAGAGGAGGTTGTTAGAGGTTCGACAAGTATGCCCGGGGTCTATGGTAGTCCTTCCTTACGCGTAAGAATGCAGAAGACTAGGCGGGCAGAAATATGAACAAAAAACGTGGACGCTAAACCACCACAAGGGAAGCAGCTCCTTCAGCTAGCAAAGATGTCCCTATCTGAGTTCCATTCTATGCATGACAAGCAGACGCTTCCTCTAGTAAAGGAAGCGTCTGCATTCCCCTCATTCCCGCTAGCTATAAGAAAAAACAGACTCCGAGCATACTTAGTCGACTAAAAGAAGGAAAGGCACTCACCTGTTTCTCCTCGGCATTCGTGAAGAATGTCTTTCCAGGAAAGACCAGGAGCAACTCCTGTCGCAAGCGAGCATCATCTTCAAAGTACTTCTTTGCATCTGCAAGCTGCTCGTAGAACTTCTCCTGCAATTCCGTCCGGCTGTAGTGTCGGCTATCCTCCGTCAAAAGGCGCATATTCATCCGATCGGCGGGCTCACAGAAACGTGAGACGAAGAGCAAAAAAGCAGTGTAGAAAAAGGCGTCATCTGTGGATGTGGTGGCGTTGGCATATGAAATAAGACGAGATCAGAAGATCGTCAGTTTTAGAAGATTAACCGACTACAATCAAACATCTAGCCATAAAATACCAGGGGTCTCGGCCTTCGACAAATACGGCGCCGGAAGCTGCGATCGAGGGATCTTGTCTGACGCCTGATGCACCTGTCGCAACATAAAACAGAGCCCCAAAGCCAAACGCATCACCAAGTCACCACAACAGAGAAAAAACGTCATCCACCTCGTCCAGATGGGCAAAGATATTTTCTGGAATAGTCTGTGGATAAGCCTTCGGAAGGCTTCCTTCTCTTCAGGGCCAGAGTACTTGCTGACCACGCGCCCGCCGGTCCTCGAGAGCTTCCCGCAAAGAAGGTCTAAGACCTCTGACCGACTTCGTGACACCTTCAGAAACTGGAGAAATTTACCATCATCGTCAAAACCGTCTCCAGGACCCCAGCAAGGGAAAAAATCGCTGAAACGTTTGTCGATCGTCGCGTGCTGCCCAATCGACTTCTCGTTTGCACCCCACGCCTGTGTTTAGAGACATGAAGACGAGAGGTCGCCTTCGACAGTGAGACTATGGGTTTGGTTGGACGTGTTTCAGGGATGGATGAGGAAGGAGTTGCACACGCGCTAAATTTGAGTCATGTGCTAATCAAAGGAGATTGGTAAGCAGATGGGTGAAGGAATGCAATACAAGAGAGACCCGAAGAAAACGCTCGACCAGTTAACACTAGAAAGTTAAAAAATGACCACGGTCATTTATTTCAAAACTAACAAAATACCACCAGGTAAGTATGCTTCTCCACGACCCTCGGGTCACGGCCGATCACCCGGCAAAACTTCTCGAGTCCCTGCTTGTTGCTGATCGCAAGCATGTGCACGTGGCAAAAGTCGGGCCACATTATGACGTTGCCGTCTTCCGCGTCTGCTAGTTGTAACATGTGGACTTGTTGGTTTTGAGTACTGCCGCCGCTGTCAGTAGGGTAGAGGCAGATGACGGGCTTCTTCCACTTCTTGCGCAGCAGCTCCTGCAGATGTTTGGTGACGAGATCGGCGGAGTCAAAAGCTTCACTACAACGAAGACTACTAGTGACCGGCTCCTTTGCTCGTCCAGCTGCAGTTTTTGGTCGGGCACCAACACCAACAAGAAACGTCGGAAGCCAAACGTGTGCACGTCCGTCATCAGCTCCCAGCTGCATCTCACAATCTGCATAGCTAGCCATCCACTTGCGGGCTCCTTGCGTTCTGAAGCCCTCCTCCACCGCGAGGGTTCGCTTACTAGTGCCATCACTTTGCATCTGCACGCACGCGCTAGCAACATCAGCTTGATCGATGCGCTCGACGATATATTTCCAAGATTCATGCACCGCGTAGTAGTTGGCACGTTTTAAAACACGCATGTCAGACTCGGTTCGACCAGACTCGAAATACTCCATGGCAACAGCGTCAGCTGCTGAAAAAAGCTTCGTGACCTCAGGAGCAGGCACAGATGCTTGGGAAGGTTTGACGTTTGCCTTCTTACGCATCTCCCAGAGACGACGCTCAAACTTGTCCATCTTATGGCGGAAAGGTGGCGACTCGTCATCTAATCATAAGCGCGCTAAAAAATTGAAATACTACCGAGAACCGTCCTTATTTCGTAAGTTCTTGCACGTCTCTAATCAGGGTCCACGCGTCAAAAACCGACGAGAGTGGAGACGAAATCGATCAACGGACTCCAAGGTCGCCTCAGTCAGATCATGACTAGTCACATCCCATGTTTCTGAACAGTGAGCAGGTAGGCGGAACCGATCGAAGACAGCTGCACATCAGAAGCGACAAGATGGAACACACACCAGCACAAGCTCCCGCGAACAACTCCCGTCGAATAACGAGTCGCATGATTATGAGAAGCTGCTATGATTGACCCTGAGAGAACTCACATTGGTAACATTTGAAGATGTGAGTTCTGAGAGGCCAAACACAACACGCCCTAACCGAGAGAAGGCACCTCGCCAAGGTGCAGAGTCTATCGCCCAGCAGAATCCGACTTGCGAAGGGACAGCCAGCACTTGCGAAGAAGACCGTCTTGTCCTGGGTCTGCGCCTCCACCTCCTCGCATGAAGCAAAGCACCTTCTGGAGTGCTCTCCGGGGGCCATCGCTGCCGCCAAGTGTTAAGATGATTCATCATTTACAGACTATAGCAGGCCCAGGACCTCCCATTGACTTCCTAGTACTGTCATTGGGATTCAGTTGATCACGAAGCATAGCGAGCTCCGCCTCGTGCCCCCACGTTTGTTTTTTCAGGGTCTCCGAATTAGGTCAGACACGAGCGCTGGATCAACCTGGTCCGATAGGTATAGTCGACGTAACTGCTGCTCGCTCGATGGTACCAGCTTCGGAAGCTGCTGGCGTGAATCCGCTCGACTGCTGGACTTTCTGATGAGAAAACAAGAAACGGAGCAACAAAAATTTTTTAAAATCAACTAAAATCCGTCACCCAAGCCGTTCTCTCCTACCTTTAGTACACTTGATCACAAAACAAGAAGCAAAGGGCCAACGGCAGAAGGCAGCTTATCCCGTGTCTATTTTAGGTCTTTTAGTCAAGTCATGTCAAAGAAGTACTACTAGGCACAAGCTGAAATTGTACTTAATATATTTTTAGCAGACAACATTAAAAGAAGCGAAGAAGCAAGGAGTATGGTAGGTGCTAGGCCTTCCCGCTTATATCAGTTAACTACCCCAGAAGAAGGATATAATTACTCAAAAAAGACACATAAGGAGACTAAGTACTGAAAGACATAGTTATACGCGAACCAAGTACTAAAATGAAGACGACCGAAATTAGTAAGGTAATTTGTCGAACGTTCGGTATTGATGACCTTGTTACGAGATACAGGGGAAAGAATTCAGACACGGGTATTACATTTTTTGCCCCATTCACATCATGGAGGAACAAGCGTGATGTTACGAGAGTAGTACTAGACAAAAACTACAAGTCAAGAGCAGTCCTAGACACGAACAAGCTTGTTATCTCTAGACATGACTTACTACAAGCTGAGGAAAATTATGGGAAGAGGGGGAGGGGAGGCGAGGACTAGTTATGGCTTTCCCTAATGTAATCCATCTCGATAGACGTCCCTTAAACATATGCACTCCAATACAGGGGAGATACTGACGCATATGCTTGAGAAATTTCCACAAAGATGAATAGGGGAAAGGTCTAAGCTAGCTGATGCCCCCTGCACACTGAGCCCCCTGGACATCGAGACAAGACTAACTTGCACAAGACTTCTCTCAGCCACTAGCTGACCACGACGCAGCAGCCTACGTAGTCATGAGATAGGGACGAGAATACTCAGGCAATCACACTTCCTTCTCTCTACCACCCAAGTGTTAGGTTAGGATAGGTGTGGGCCCGCCCGAAAAACTAGCAGACTTCATTGGCTACTGAAGCGCCCAAAAGACAATACTAAAACTAGAGCTGGCGGCGCTACACTAGAACCTACTTTCTATGTTACGGACCACTTGTAACAACTTCTACTGTTAGTGATAGTGGCTCATTGTTCTTATACTTGAAAGCAGTTGTTGAGATCCTTCAACTTTTGGGGATATTTGGACTCATCGATCTACCAAACAAGAACCAAAAAACGAGCACTAGCGAGCATGTCTAGCGAGATTAACTGCATACGGATTTTCGCGCTGATCTTCCAGTAGACATCTGCGTCGCTAAGAAAACTTTTAGACATGATCTTGTAGTTGATGATGAGATGCCTCCGCTCACTAGGGGCAGGCGTGGTTCTGACTTGATGTGAGCAATGTGATACGTTGATGAAGATCTAACAAGTAGGCACCAGCAACGTAACATCTAATACGTGAGAAAAGCGATAATAGGAAAACTTAGTAGAGAAGATAACCAAGAAGAGAGTGCGGCGACATGCTAGATTCGATAGCAGATACTTTTTAGGGGGCAGTCAGTCGGTCAGTCAGTCAGTGAGTCAGTCAGTCGGTCAGTCAATCAGGGGGCCTCGACAGGGCACCCACCTTTTCTTTTTTGTAGTCCGAGAACGCCGAAAAGGTGACCCCAGTGCTGTCCGGTGTACCTGCCGGCGACGGGTGGAGTGCATTAGCCTCCTTATACTACCGCACACTAATGGCCTACGAACCCGTCGACTATAAAATGGAGAAAAAACTAGGGGCAAAGGAGGTGATTAATTCTTTAATATAAACCTCCACCGGCCGACCTCCTCGCGGTAGTTATCATCTAGACAAGAGTTGCTCTATCATGATCATGATCTTCACAAGTGTTCGATAGACTGGCAATGAAATCCGGCGGAATCGTACGCGTCGCCCGGAGCGCATCGAAACAAACAAACAAAATAAGCAAGGACCTGACGAGAATATATTGGCACCGAAAAGAACGAAGAAAGATCTTGACTATCTCACCAGCCCAATCACATCCACACTTACCGATATTCATGATCGTTATTCTATCCAAGCCTCTTACTTATTCTTCTGCCTCAAACAGAAAGCAGCCTTTTAAATGTACGCCCGCCTCCCTTATTTCAGTCAGCAACTCCTAGGAACTGGCTTTTTTAGTCTAGCAGAGTGTCGATCAAATTCATGACCGAAGAGTTAGAGCAAGAAAACCGAAAGAAGAGCTTTAGGAAGCTCTTTGAGTATGTTTCTCCTTTTCTCTCTTCCGTAATTAAGAAAGAGAACACCGGAAAAAGTTGAAGAGTATTAATCCGTGATTTTTGAATTTGTTGAATATCAGCGAAAAGAATACCAATAAAAAAGCCATTGAGGCTCCTTAGCAGTATCCTGTATGAATAGGGAGCATGCTCAATTATTTTGGCGTCAGTATGTAGGGGAAGTTAAAGTTTGTTGCCACATGCTTGCGCATGCATTAGGTTTTTGGTTTTTATCATGCACAAAATCTAGAAGGTTCAGATTGATCTTAATGCATTTTATTTCTGTCTTGGTCTATTTGATTCGACCGAGGAACAAAGGAGCAGACTGATGCAGATTTTCTTACTGAGAGCATTTCAATTTAAATTCATCTTACAACAGCCTCCCTTGCTCCGTGTTCAGCGGTCTTTAGCCATTTTTTATCCCTGGTTCTATATTTCTTACTCCATTCATTTCTAAGAAGTTGAAAAAATCTTTGCCAAGAACTATTTTAGTTAGCCCGTTGGCCTTGTTGCTAGCAGATGGGAAATATAATGGTCGCACAATATTCCTACTTGCAATGTCTCTTATGAAACACTCCCTAATGTCTAAGTGCTTCAGTCTGCTAGCTGTCCCGGATTTATTTATAGCATACTTAAGGCCTCCCTGATTGTCAGCTTTCAAAGGAAGCGGGAAAAGTATTTTTGGCTCCGGAAAATAAATACTAAGCCAGCCTTGTAGTGATGTTAAAACATAGCAAAAACGTAGAATGGCCTTGGCTCCATCTGTCATACCATAGAACTCGGATTCAGTCACTGACGTAGCAATATTGCTTTGCGTGATAGATTTCCAATATATAGGATTGCCATTCAAATTCACTACTATGCCTGAGATTCCTCTTCTGCCTATAGTTCCACCGAAGTCAGAATCCGTCCAGACAGTAAGGATTAGTTTGTTTTGGAGTTGTTTACTACGATTGAAATACTTCAAAACTCTTCGAGTTCTTAAGTATCTAAATACACGCTTAAGGGCTAGAATAGATTCGCTGCTCGCTTTAGCTTTTGCGCAAAGCTTTAGAGGAGTCACGATATCTATTCGAGTAGCACTCGCTAAATACTGAAGACAACCAGTAAGCTCCTGCTTATGTTTTAATAGTTCTATATCTTCAGGCGTGGATGGATTAGGCGCTTGAAGTAAAGGAGTAGAAACGTGCCTACCTAATTCTCCACCAAATCTTTCTAGTATTTTAGTAACGTAGTCATCTTGTGATAAAGTGAAGTCATTAGTTCTTAAATTTCGAATAATCTTGATCCCTAAGTAATAAGTCATATATCTCCTGGGTAGTATTCTTAGTAACTTTCTCAGGTATTAGTTTTAAAAGAGGACGAAGCTCTTCATGTAGTCTCATAACTTGAGCTTTTGGACCAAAAAACCAAAAATTATCTACAAACACTACTAGTAGGACATCTTCTTTCTGCCAAAGGGTTGGCTCGCATGGATTGCGTTCCCATTTAGCATTAGTTAATATCTTATCTCTATGATCTGACCAAGCGCGTGGCGATAAACGTAAGCCATTGAGAGCATATAGAGCTACGCCATATCTATAGCCTAAAAGTTCTTGGAGTCGTTTATCTAGGTCAACAATAACAGGGATCGGGTATGGACTCTGAAGGAAAGCGGTTTCCGCATCAGATGACAAGAAGAAGATGCCGGAGCACTGGCATGCAATACACAAGAGCATACGGATAATGCATAAATCGGGAACTTCTGCATAAGATTCCGCGGGGTCACTAATTTTATCCATATAACCTAAACAAACAATGCGAGCTTTTTCAGTTCCGTCCCGTTTTATGGAGAGTAATAATTTGCAGGGAATACCTCTGAACCCTTTTGCAAACCATTGAAAAAGTTCTTTCTCCGATGCTCTTCTGAATACATGCCAATGGGCCTCAATCTGTTTTCGAATAGCAGCAGACCAGTCAGGTTGCGCTAGATCGTAACCTGCGCAGTCAGCTGTAATTGATGCAACTTTGCAACAACACTCGCGCTCACCTTCTTCCCAGTCATGACAAAGGAACGGGAAAACAAGAGAACAGGCTACCTCATCTTCTAGGGGGTCCTGTATGTTCTTCTTGCAATGTTCCAAAATGTCAGATGCAATTTTTTGGAGGTGCTTCACTTTGACTGTTGAAATTTCGGGGCGTTTCTCAATGATTTCCCTAATTTCAGTCAAAGCCTTCGCCCTGGTTTGTTTACGTTCTTTCCAGGCTCCACGTGTAGGACACTTTTTTACTTTGGCAGCGATCTTTTTCAATTCTTCTCCGTGCTCTGCTTTCAGGCGATTGTAGACTTGAGCTGTGTAGTCTTTTGTAAGACGGAACGGCTTCTGATTCTTTTGGGCGTCCCCCCCAGAATCAGTTTCCTCAGGATTCCCTGAGCTGACGCGGTTAGTTGCAATTGCTTCACCACTATGGGTCCTTTCAAAAGCAGCGGGGGTTTCGTCTTGCTTTGGTAATCCTGGCGTCTTTTGATCTTCCGGCGGGTTTCGTTTGAGGGACGCGCCTAGATCTTTTTGACTACTGGCCTTCTCAAGTTTGATTTGGACTGGTGCCAGCGCTCGTTCTTCCACCCTTTGATTTTTGTCAGGAGCTACTCCATGCGTTTTGTAGATTACACGCAATAACGCAGGAGGGAGATTGAGTTGCTCGAGTACTAAGTGCCTACGAATATGGGAAGAGTGTATACGTTTGAAGTTGCCATCATGATCCACCACGAATGTTACAGAATTATCATTCACCTGCCGATGAATCAGCTTCGCAGGCCCCAGCCATGCCTTTTTATCTTTGTCGAAAATATCGACAAGATCTTCTACTTCGAGCTGATCAGATTCAGGGAAGAAATTCCGTTGAGTCTCAGCCAGCTTGCGCATGCTGTTCACAAATTGCTTGTCTCTTTTGAGTTTTTCAATTTGTGCTCTTGCTTCGCGTCTCGTCTGATATGCCTCCCCTATGGGCTCCAGCGAGATTATAGCTTGCTGAGTAGTTTGATTTTCTGGATCTTGCGGCGCTAATTCATATGGGTTCATGGCCCATTGAACTTGATAGGGGCAGAGTCCGCCAAGAGCCCTGGCGGGTGTCATGTTGATTGCGGCAGTTGCCTGCTCCACGAGTCCTGCGATCCTGCTAGGCTGTTGACCATAGATATAGTATAGCTTTTCGAGCACAGCTCTGAAGGTTCTGTGCCTACGCTCAACTATACCACTGACCCAGCTAGATTTCGGAATTAAGAACATACCACATCCATGCAATTGAAGAAATTCGCGCACTTCTGAGTTATCAAATTCCTTACCTTGGTCACATAGTGAGTCTTTGCCTAGAATTCCTCTGGTTTTTGCAGCTTCTAAAAACTCAACAGTATCTTTACCTTTAGGGTGATGCTTTAGAGTTTTAGTAAAGCTAGCTCGAGAATGGAAATTGATAATATGCAATACGGCGTATTGTTTACCAAGTGGGAAAAAGGTATCAACGCTAGCAAAGTCCCTCAGTGATAGACCATCGACTCCACCTACTTTGTGACGAGGATGGAAAAGCATAGTTACGCAATCTGCCTAAGTTATGCTTACAGAATTGAATAACTAATGAGCGACTTCTTTGTGTATTTTCTACTTGTCGAACGACTTCCCAAAGCTTTTGAAACGTCGGAAAACTAAGCCGTGTCGCGAGTTTACAAATTTGCTCCATCGAGTTTTGTTGTCCAGTTGTACTCTTCTGGCCAGTTTTTCTATATTTCTTCGCAGGCTTAGGCTTGTTCTGGTTTAGTCTTTTCTTCTTCTTTTTCTTCTTCTTCTTCTGCTTGTTCGACTCTTGCTCCATCTTCGGCTGTACTGCTTCGAAAAGTTGTGAAGAAGATGAGTCCACTTGATTTGTGCTAGTGCTGCCGGTCGGAGTTGACTTGTTCAAGTTTGTTGTTAGTACTAGTGGCGAACTAGTTTGATTCAAGTCGTAAACGAATGCACTCCTATAGTTCTCTGATTCACGGTCGTTAATATGTGGGACACTTTCTCCCAGGTATGCTTCGATAGTTCGAAATCTAGTTTGCATTTCTTCATTGAAGAACTTATATAGGATGATAGTTCTTCTCTGCCACTCTTTGCTCATTCTGGGAATTATTTCCGTTATTGCGGCAGATACGCTCGCATTGTCCAGATCGACTTCGAATGGAGCTAGTTCTGGATCATAAGAGTATGGCCGCTTGTTAGCGTACTCGTCATGACTTGCGTGGGCTAGTCACAGGTTCGCCATGAGGCTGCTTACATCTTGCGCCACCATTGCACTCGAGTTTTGTAGTTCGCGCTTTTTGACTTTTAACTTCATCATTAGCACGCCGCAACGGATCTCGAGTGGGCACCCCATGCACTTGCCGTTTACTAAATCTGGAACTATTCCGGCTTGTAGCATTTTCGTCATCGAGAGAATCGTCTTCCCACCTAAGGACGCCACAAAGAGTGTATCCGGAGTACTCCACGAATCGTTTTCAGCGATCATCTTTCCTTTGAGGGTAGCAACTGCTCCGGTATCGCTTGCTGTTGCCAAATTCTGATGACAATACTCAACTTCCCAGATGTTTGATAAGTCTCCGGTAAGATGTTGAGACGAGCCAGAATCTAGGATTGCCCAGATCTCATTACTGTTCTGCTGATTCACCGTCTCGATATGATACGAGAGTGCTTGAGCGTTTTGTTGATCCAAAGTAACAAACGTCCTGCCCTTGGTCCATGTCGGCACGAACTGCGGAGGCTGCTGCAGTTGTTGCTGATTAGGCTGCATCTGCTGAGTGCTCTGCGTGAAAAAGGCCTGAGCACCTTGTTGCTGATATGGAGTAGTTGGCGCAGTCGGCTCGTACGCGTACTGCTCTGGATTGTAAGTAGCGTAGGCCGGAGTGCTATAGTTGTACTGCAGCGCTTCAGTCGACTGGTCTTCAGCGTAGTAGTTTTCCTCAGCTCCTGTAAAGAAGTTCTGAGCAGGATTCGAAGAAGATGCTGACGATGTTGCGGGCCAAAATCCTCTGGCTTGTTGTGGATATTGTCCCTTGCCGCCTTGTTTCGAGGATTTGAATCCTTTTCCCTTGTTCTTTGACGTTCCTCGAAAGTTGCCACTACTACTGCTGCTCGCATTACTGCTACTGGCGAAAGGGTGTCTTCCTTGATTCTGTCCTTCTTGCGATGTACTCCAAAAAGTAGCCGACGACTTATTGTCTTTCCTCGTTTGCCATCGCCTTTCCCGCCTTTCTTCTTGTTAGCATGGTGCAACTGTTCAGCTTTTGCTACAGAATTGGCCAGCTCTGTCATGGTGGTCGGCTTCTCCATGATGATTGCATTTTTGAGACAGCCGCACGAGTTACTTTTGAACATTCGAAGCTGCTCGATGATCGGACATTTTTCGACCTGTACACTGGAAGAAATAGCTGCCCATCTTTTGTAGAACGACTGCGGTCTTTCGTTCTTTCCTTGCGTCATTGCTTCCAACTGTGACACGGCGATATCAAATGCCTCGCGTTCCGTCGCGTAGGTGTCTCGAATGTGTTTAACTCGCTGCGCAATAGATGCAATCTCCTGCGTTTCGGCTCGATTCTTAATCTCGAGGTATCGACTAAGCGTCTGGGCATGTTCAACGCGCGCTTCGATACTCTCATACACTTCAGCGAAAGTATATTTTGAGAGTGCGAGATTGATCCAAGAGCGGAAGGAAAGCTTCTCATCCTTGTACTTGGGCACGCGCTTCAAGTCCGAAGCTTCTTCATGATTGGCGTGACTTGTGCTCTTTCCTGAAACTTTTGACGAAGCGGCTTGCTCATTTTGTAACTCATTGCCTTTGATCTCCAGCGTTTCACTATCGCCTTTTATTTCTTCTATTATTTTTCCTTCAGTAGTCTCTTCATGGTCATGATGTTGAGCTTCATCAAGTTCCACTATTTCAGCCTGATCATTCAAAAGGCGACGCCTTTTCGTTGTCGAGATTGCTGTGCTACCTTGATCAGCAGCACCAACTCGTTTAGCGGAGGCTTTTACCCAGACCTCTCCAGTTTCCGGATCGGTCCAAGTATTTTCTCCACCAACCATCATCTTGAACAC